ACATTAGCTCTTTTATGGTTGCAAGTTCCTTACACATAACCAATCATGACACTAAATGGGTCACTTTAGTGATATTAACCCAAAGTTCAATGGCTTCTACCCTCCCCATCTCATGGATGCAAATCTTACCCTGTTATATCCCAAAGCCTCCAGATGTGATTTATAAGTCAATCTGTCAGTACAATTTTCCTTTTTGGCAAGTACTTTGACCCTCAAAGTAAATTACAAGTATTCTTGCACTGCCACTGTTTACGGCTTCCTCTTTTAGAGGACCAGTGTGTATGCCTAGGTGTTTCCATATTAATCTGAAAATGCCTTTCTCCTCTCTCCCACCATCACTAAAAACCACAGGTACATAACTTGTGATCTTGTGTCTGGTATATTCCTCCACTCTTCTTTTTCTTAACAACCAGCTTTCTCGTTTTTCCTTATGCATGGCAGAATATATTCCTCCTACTAAAACTCAATGTTTTATATGATTCTGTCATCTAGAGAGATTTTCTGGCTCTTCTGGATTTTCAATTCTAGATTTTCAGAAAAGAAAATCAGGACAACCTATCTTGAGTAGGATGTCACTCGGGTTCAATAAGCCATGGCTGGGATTTTATAATACAAATGTGTCTGAAGGGACCAAGAGTAAATCTCAAGGCAAGGACATGGCTAGTGGACTGAGAAGATGTCCAATCAGTCCACTCTGGGACACTATCAGAGTCAAATACCATGATGCCCATCCAAATTTTCCTCATCATTATTGCCTGCACAAACACTTCCCTATATGAGTCAAAGAATGTGGATGAGTATATGTATGCCTACTTTACCAACTTATCAGATTTCCCTCAACAATTCTGAATCCAAGCAGTGAGCTGAACTCAAACTTGTGTTAATTAGCCTCCCACTGTTTAAAAACATACCTGTTTAGGGCCTCCTTGGTGGCACAAGGGATTAAGTCTCAGCACTATCAAGCTATCTACAGCCACTGCAGCACGAGTTCGATCCCCAGCCAGGGAGCTAACCCATACGGCACAGCAGACCTCTACTGTGTGGCCTACTGCTCCCCTCAGCAGTGTATCTCAGTAGATCAGCCTGTTCTGCTCCCCTCTCTGTCTCTGGTGAATCCTCTCAGATCCCACACCTCTGACCTACATCCCAGTTCTTGTATGCATAAATAAATAAATCTTAAAAAAAAAAACTGCCTGTTTAGTTCACTCAGAAAACCTCATCTAGCATAACAACTTGAGCATAGAACTAAACTGGATTGTTTAGTTGTGTTGCTTATCAGAGAAAATACCCAAAGCTAATAGTGATCCATGTTAAGTTATAAAAGTTATCCTATAATCATCACCCTAAGATTCTTCGTCTGTGAACCATATGTGAGTCACAGTTCCTCTTTACATCCAAATACTTCAAAAATTGAAGTGTAATTGTAAACAGCTGTATGTAACTGCCTATCAATTAATTCTCATGTTTTTTTTTTTGTTTTTTTTAAACCGGGGGAACATAACTTGTTTTCATGCACCAGAAAAAAGGGAACTTTTAGAAAAAAAAAATGGACATCCATAATAACTCACATATTCAACATTTTTATTTGAGGCCAAGCTTTTTCAGTCTACCCAACCCAGAAGGTACACGTGGGGCTGTGGATCTCCAGAACACTAACGCTTTTGCCAGGGGTACTGCGGTCTGACTTTCAGCGAGGACTGTGCAGTCCAAGTCGCCTCTCCAAGAGAAGAATAAGTTGGAGAGAAATTCATCTCATTTATTGTAAAACATGAAAATGCAATTATGTAATTTGCAATTAAAATGAGGCTTTCAGTCTTTAAATTTAAATGGCTGAATCACTTGGTGCTTACATATTGCTGTATATATTTTGTATTTCCTGTGATTATGTCTCTTCTTCCCAAAGACAGCACAGACCATGCATTAAACTTTTCAAATCTTCCACAGCTATTTTTATGGTACCTTATACATAGTAACACCTATTGCTTATCGACTTAAACTGGGTGCAAAGCACTTAGTTTTAATTGCATTTTTAAGATTAAATTGAATCCTCCAACCAAACACTGATGGGCATAAACACAATGCTATTTACCATTCTTTATACCGTGGAGAGTCTATTTTGAATTTTGAATGATCTTTATAAAATGCAAACCCTCCAGCTTTCTACTAAATCTAAAATATTTTAAGTAAAATAGAAGACAAAATTATGTCAGGCCACAGTAAAAATTGCAGTCAGCACTCTTAGATTCTGTCACTGGCTTCACCTGAAAATATTTATTCCTTCCTCTGAAACAATTTTCCTTAATCAGAACAATCTCCTAAAAGGATAAGTGGAAGCTCCCACTGAGAGATACTGATCTAGGATTCTTCTGGTGAAGGCTATTAAGGTAAACACTTGGTAGATACTATGTCATTGAAACTCTTGTTATCTGCTCAGGGACATTCACTTCTTGGGTCTTTAATCACTACAAAGCAACCTGGACCAGATCACAGTCTAAGGGAAGAGTCAAAAGGAAGAGCTGGTGTCGTCCAACAAAATTGTTTACATTCTAGGAAGTTATTAAGGCTGCATCTATCCAACAACTTCTTCATGTTTTTGTTTTTGTTTTTTCCTGAGAAGATAGAGTGGTAGGGGATGGCCAGGGGTCCCTTTGCTGAAGCAGTGGCAAAGATGAGAGTGTCATGGCTACCAGGGCTTCTTTGGCACTGAATGAGCCTTTGTACTTGAGGTGGATGTGAGATAATTGCTCATTATTTGGCCATCCTCCTGCTCAGGTCATGAACAGAGAGCTCTGAAATTTGCTGCCTCTCTTCATCCATTGGTAATACCTTCCCAAGATAGTTAGCCTCATTTTTTTCTTTACAGCATTCTTTTAAAAATTTTACTGACAAAGGAATCTGCCCTTCAATAACTAGTGAGCATGCCCCTTTTCCAAAGGCATTTTCATTAATTCAAAGAATTCAGAGTTACAGGATCAAACTAAGTGCCATTACGTAAACAAACTAATGGATAAAGAAAACACAGTATTTCTATACAATGAAGAATGCATGTCTCGTTTGTGATAACACAGATGAAGTGAGAGAACACTGTTAAATGAAATAAGCCAGAAAAATTCTTAATGATCTCACTTATATGTGGAATCTAAAAAAGATGAACTTGAAAACAGAGAATAGAATGATGAGAGTCCAGGGATTGGGAAGTGGGAGGAAGGGGAGATGTTCAAAGAGTACAAAACTTCCAGTTACAAGATGAATAAGTTCTAGAGATCAAATGTGCAGCACGGTGACTATAGTTAAGTACGCTGCATTATAATATGCTTGAAGAATGACTAAGGGAGTAAATAACTTTTTTTTTTAATATTTATTTATTTATTTATACAAGCACTGGGTACAGTCAGAAGTCGTGAGGGTGAGAGAATTCACCAGAGCCAGAGCGGAGAGCAGAACAGGCAGACAGACGAAGTACACTGCTGAGGGGAGCAGCGGGCGGCAGGAGAGGTCTGCGCGCCATGTGGGACCCTCGCCCTACGGCCAGGGATCGATCTGGCATCGCAGAGGCTGCGGGCAGCTTCACAACCCAGTGCTCAACTGCTGTGCCACCAGGGAGGCCCGGGAGTAAATAACTTTTAATGCACACAGTGAGGGGACAGATGGGCTAAGCAGCTTATTTTGGTAATTATTTCACAATGCATATGTAGATCAAAACATCATGTTGTATACCTTAAATATATATAATTTTTATTTTTCAATTACACCTCAATGAAGCTGAAAAAAAGAATTCAAATAAATCTCTCCTTTCCCCACATTTTTATAACACTTACCAGTTCTGTCAATATAAATCTTATTACAAATGACATCACAGAACAGTAAGGCATATACAAGTCTACCAATCTCGGCTATCATGTTAACTCGCCAGGGGAGCAAGCAGATCATAGATGATTTCTCTCTCTAGGGTTGAGAGCCTAGTATTTAAGAGATAAATATTTATATATTAATAATATGTTAAATTAATAAGGATCTACACACAAGCTTCACTAAGGCTAAGGAAAAATTAATACAACATCTTAAATAAATGCAATGCAAATGAATGTATTTCTAAATCTCTATCTGAACATTACAGTGTACCAAAAGTTGCCCCTCACTTTTAGGTGCCAAATAAAATATTTTTCCCCAGGATTTTGGGCCATAATAATATTTTTCATAAAGTAGGGGGTTGGAGATAAGATTTATTTTTAGGAAGCTTTGCAGCATCCTCCACACTGCATGTAGCAGACATCCCAAGAAACACTTTCCTTACGTCATCATATGAATGTCACTACCAGAACTTCTATAAATAGAAATGCCAGGACAGAAGTTTTAGCATAAAGGAAGTAGTTGCTTAAGAAATATCTTATGTATAGTAAATATTTAAATCATTTAAGAATAATTAAGATAGCCATGTCCTTCAGGCAAGAAATCGTGACCCAAGAAAATAAAACATGAAATCTTTATTTGTACTCACAAAGATATTACAGTTGAAGAGTTATTTGAGGAATAAAGGATTCTGCTTCCTCTCTTCTGTCCTTGAATTTGACTTCAGTTTTCACTCTGTTGAGTGACTTTCCCTTCTGGAGGTGATTTTAAGATCAAGAGCAGGAGAGCAGACTAGATGGAATGGCCAGCAGAGTAGGACAGATCAAAGAGACTTCTTCCCAATCCACATATGTGGTGGAGTAGATACATACTATCATTTTCTCATTCTTTTCATTCATTTATTTCAATAATTGGCACCTACTGAATATCAGAAACACTGCTAGGTACTAGGTATGTCCTGAGAAGTACAAAGACCCACCATATATCCTAGTAGAGCTTACATTGACTGGGGGCAGTTAGACAATAAAGAGGTCAGTTGGCAACTATAAATTAAAGCTGGTCAGTTCAGGTCATGAAAGGGATGCTGTTTAGAATGGTGTGGGGGATGGTTACCTTAGGTCATGTGGTCAGAGAACATTCTAGGTGAGGAAGTCACAGTTGAATTGTTGCCCAGCAAATGAATGAAGCAGATCATGATATTAGTGGTGATGGGAGGAAACACTTGAGTTGGAAAAGGCTCTGTGATTTTGCCAGAATGAAAGAAATCAGTGTGCTGAAGCTTGGAGTCTGAGGGCACAATGTGGAGACAAGATCTGGGAGCTAAAGGGAAGATAAGTGTTGTGGGATTTGTTTAACTCCTGGTAGGTAGATTCAAGATTTTTTTTTTTTAAGTGAAATGAGAAGTCAGTGAAGGCTCTAAGTAAAGAAATAACTTGATCCCATTTATATTTTCACAAGAGATTTGAGGTGTTGCTAAGGACAGAAAGAGAGGCAGGAGGGCAGGAAGAGATACTGGAGGCTATTGTAGTCCTCGGGCTCTAGAAGAGGAGAAGGGGGTGGCTTGAGTAAGGGGTAGTAGTGAGGCCAGTGAGAAGGAGAAGGATGTGGGATCGAGGTGGAAGATGGAAGAGGCAAAACTCAAAGACAGATTCACTGTGGAGGGTAATAGACAGGAATGAGTGGAAGGGTGGATGATGCTTAGGCTTCTGATTTTGATGGTAAAACCATTTTACCAAAATGGGGGAAACTAGGTAAATAAACGGGCAGGGGATTTTGAGGTGAGTTAAACATCACCTTGCTTTAAAATTAAATAGCCCCTTTTAAAAAGCAAAATAAGCATAGTACAGTGAAAATGCATGCAAAATTCCCTCATATACTTTCTCTCTTTCACATGCACATACCTGTGAAAAACTACAAATTCAGAACACCTTGAAACCCATTATTTAATTGGTAGCAGGTGCCCGATGCAGCCATAATCCCTACCATACAGGTTTGCCAGCTCTATTTATTGTGCCCTTGCTGTAATTTTTTTCATGGCAGCAACAAGGTCATAAAAATTAGCTAGCGGTTTTCAAAGTACAGTTGATCCTTAAACAATGCAGGCTTTAAGGGCAGCAATCCCTGTGCAGCTGAATAGCCACATATAACTTGACTCACAAAAATTTAACTACTACTATTTAAAACTATTGACTAAAACTTTACCAATAATATAAACACCTGAGTAATACATATTCTGTATGTTTTGTGTATTAATACTTCTTTCTTACAATAAAGTAAGCTAGGGAAAAGATATTACTAAGAAAATGAGAAGGAAGAGAAATTATATTCACATATTTACTGAAAAAAAAATCCATGTATAAGTGGACCTGCACAGCTTAAGCTTATTGTTCAAGAGTTAACTGTAGGCTAATCTAAATAAATTAATAAGCATTTGTGTTCCAATAACACACACATTTGTACATGGTTACGTACACACACACATACACACACATATATATATACACACACATAAACTGGAAGAAAACTGTTATTTCATCCTTACATAACAACATTATATACTGTGGTTTGGATGTATGTACCTGTGAGCACCGCAGAGGTGCTCAAATCATGTCTTCAGTGAAATACACTGTATTCAGAAATCAAACTAATATCAAGAGGCATGCTGTATGGGTCTATGTGTCCAAGAAGGTGAATATTCACAACACCTATTCCTTCTTTTGGTGACTTTACTGCATACCATCTAGAGCTGGTGCATGTGGAAGAGATCATTATAGAATTGATCATTTCCACATTAGCATGACCATGTATCAAGTGGCATCACTACCTTCATTAAATGCCCAGGGAAGCTGACTGACAGCAAGAACATGAATCACACTCCTGAAGACAGTGTCACAATAGGTTGTCAGCCCTATATTTTAAAATCCACCTGTGATGGCTAAATTTATGTGCTGTTTTGGCTAGGTTATGGTAACAAATGTTTGATAAAATACATTCTAAATGAAGCTGTGAAGAGTGTTTAATATTTAATTCAGTAGACTTTGCACAAAGCAGATTATCCTTCATCAGGTGCATAAACTTCATCCAGTTAATTGAAGGTCTTAAGAGAGAAGACTGAGGTCCAGAAAATGAAAGAATTCTGCCTTAGCCTGCATTGGATTCAAGACCACAACACTAGCTCTTCTTGGGGGGTCTCCAGCTTGATAGCCTGCCAAGCAGATTTTGGACTTACAAGCCCCTACAGTCTCTTAAAATATAGATAGATAGATAGATAGATAGATAGATAGATAGATAGATAGATAGATTTTTTTTTTTTTTTTTAAACCTTTATTTATTTATTTATGCAAGCGCTGGGTACAGTCAGAAGCACAGGAGGGTGAGAGAATTCACCAGAGCCAGAGCGGGGAGCAGAGCAGGCAGAAGGACTGAAGTACACTGCTGAGGGGAACAGCGGGCGGCAGGAGAGGTCTGCGCGCCATGTGGGACCCTCACACGGTGGCCGGGGATTGAACCGGAGCTGCAGAGGCTGCTGGCAGCTTCGCAACCCATTGCTCAACTGCTGCGCCACCGGGGAGGCCCGATAGATAGATTTTCTATTGCTTCTGTTTCTCTGAAGGCTCTGACTAATACAGACTAATATACCACCAAATCTACCTTTTAGTTACTTCTATTCTGACTTCTCGTTCTGCTTAAATGTGGATCTTCGTTTTTAAATACAGAAACTAGAAGACCAACAATTCTTCCATAATTTGTCTTTGGCAGTCCTCCTACTTCATTCTAAAATATTATAGTAGATGACTTAAGACAAATCAAAACAAACCAGATCAGTAACACTGCATTCGAAATGCTCTCTCAATTTCTAATGATGTCACTCTTATCACATCCCAGATATCATGAAAAGGATAATGGCATTTTAATGTTTATATGGAAAGAAAACCAAATCATTCTAGAAAGCAGTTATCGAGGCTACCAAAAGAGAATTCTATTCGATACTAAACACAGTTGTTAGAGGCACAATTGTGACCTTCACAAAAATTCATCTGCAAAAACCCTAACACCTGGTACTTCAGAATATGACTGTATTTGGAGATAGGATCTTTAAAGGAGTGATTAAAATTAAATTAAGTCATGGGGGCAATAAAGCAACTGGACTGATGTCCTTATAAGAAGAGGGAGTTTAGACAGACAGAGAAACATCAGGAGTACATATTCACAGAGGACAGTCCAAGCAAGAATATGGTGAAACATGGGCTATCAGCAGCCCAAGAAGAGCGGTCTCAGGAGAACTCAAACCTGCTGACTCTTTGATCTCAGTCTTCTAGACTTTAGAACAGTAAGAAAATTAATTTGTTGTTTAACTCACAGTCTGCACTGTGTTTTTATGACAGCCCTAACAAATTAATAGTCGAAATCAAAGTCCTATTTAAAACTTGAATTCTATAGAGCAAGAAATGCTTCTCTTGCTCCCCAATTCTCACACACACACACACACACACACACACACACGAGTTTCAATGTCTTTCTGATACACGTTTCGGATAATAGAACATTCAATCAGATACATTCCAACTTTCATTCTTCAGATTACATTTCCTTAGAACAGTGAAGAAGAAGAGCAATGTGGAAAGAAGGGAGTTATACCCTGCTCCAAAAAGTTTTGAGGTCACCCACTGAAATATTGTACATTACATACAGCAATAAATTGGCCACAGGGAAATGTGATTTAGGGAAAGCAGGATGAGGGGTGAAAAGAGAAAATAAAAGTGAGAAGTTAAGAGAGAGCTGGAATAGGAAAGTAATAACTCATGTCCAGTCTAAATCTAGATGGCTTTTAAATATTTGAAAAATTTGAAGCAGTTTTTCTTTGTTTTGTATCAGACCAGTAGTTAAGGTCATATTTTTTCCTCCCAAAATATCACCATCAGTTTTGCTATAGATTGTCACACTATATAAGTAAATGGTTGGATGAATTTCATTTAATCATCTAAGAGTTTATGCTGAAACTTTCTTTAGGCAGATTAGTTAGAAGCAAAAGGATATTCTCCAGTGACTTATGATGAATTCTTCGAGTGTGAAAATACTCCTCTCTGTTGTTTATAGATAAGGACTTTTCAAAGTGGTCTGTGCATTTGAGAAATAAAGGGAATGGAAAATTTCTCTAAGTAGGGCACATTTCTGATGACTAAGATTAGTACATTATGTCTACTCCAAACTAAGTCAATAATGGATCATTCTCAGATAAGCACACAAAAGTGGGTTATATATAACTTAAAGCTGAAATAGCAGACATCAATTAACTAATTTAGTTCACTAGAGAATGGGTCCAGAGAAACCAAAAACTCCCACAAACCTAAAAAATAACTGACTAGGATAGGATGACTTTCATCCAATGATCACATTAAGGTCATTAACAACTACAGGAAATGACTGACCCATTCATAGTTTCTAGGGAACAGCAAATGGTGCAGAATCTGAATTGCATAATGCAGTTTATCTTTCAAGTTTTTTTTTTTTCATGATCCAAGAGAAAAATTGAGTACTCATTATGTGAGAGGAAAATCAAACTAGAGCATGTCATAAATTTGTAGAGCGCAATATTGGAAAACATCTCGAAAGTGACACAGCTGTGATAAATAAGCAAAGTCTCTTAAATTCATTGCAAACAGTTTTTGTTCAATATCTTTAAATCTTGTGATTTCGTTTTTAGCAAAGTTGCCAAAATGTATTTTTCAAAGGGTTTCAAGGAAGAGTTTAAAGCAGCAACTTTCCAAATTCCACAGAAATTGAATAAAAACAGTATTTTATCTGGAAATGAAATTCATATAAAATGTGTCATGTTTTGCCTTTTTTCATGGGGAAACTAAGATAGTAAGATCATATTTTTTTAATCATTCTAGACTACAAACATTTGAAAATGTTAGAACTTTTCAAAGTGTTATTAAAACTATAAATGGAAGTGAAAAAGCATAATCTCCCTTTCATAAAAATGTAATTATAACTTATTTGAAACTATTTTACTTAAAATGCATAAGCTCTTTCTTAACAAAAAAAGGGAGGCTGGACTTTCAGGTGCTTTCACTGCCCAGGATTGTCCCTTGGGATATATTTCAGCATATTTCTCCACTACTTCCTACTATTGGTCGAGCTAGTATCATAGAAGAGATCCAGCCTCCACAATGTAATACAGGGACTCACTGATGAGTCAAAAGCTTTGCATTATAGCTCTGTTTCTTGTTTGTGAACTCACTTAAGTTGTTCCACATCTCTAAGGAATATGTAAGTTGCCAATGAAGATAGTATTCTGTTTAAATGTTTATTGATTTGAGAACAAGAATGCTGAGATAATCTATAAGAAAGACATCTTAAACCAAAACAGAATACTGCTTTATTACAATATTTTACTGCTCTGATTCATCTATAAAATTTTTCTCAACTTCAACAGTTATTTAGATATTGCAGGGTTTTTTCCCCCCACTTCAACAGCAAAGAAAATTTTCCATCAACAGCAATGGAATAAAGAAACTTCTTTGAGAAGTCCCTGTATTTTCTACTTCAGCCTATTCTACCAAATCCAGGTAAACTGGCTACTCTGAAGATACTGGCCCTGTGAAAGAGTGTGTGACCAAGTGTTGTAGTGAGATTCCAGGGGGCAGCTTGTGCGCACAGGTCAGAGCCAGATGGATCAAGAGTCAAACACAGGATTTGAAAATCCCCTCCACAAGCCCTTTGATGGGGACCTGTACACAGCTGGCATTTCAATTGCACTGCAGGTGACTCACCTCTTTAACTCATAAGGAACAAAAAAGCAAAATTGCATTATCTTAGTTAAGGTTGGCACATTCTGTAATGGGGAGCTACTGGTCCTCTAGCAAATTAGGGTTAGAAATACCTTCATAAAGGGCCTCCCTGGTGACGCAAGAGGTTAAGTCTTAGTTCTATCAGCAGCCACTGTAACATGAGTTCGATTCCCAGCCAGGGAGCTACCCTACATGGCCACGTGGACCTCTTCTGACTTGCCCACTGCTCCCCTCAGCAGTGTATTTCAGTAGATCTGCCTGTTCTGCTCCCCACTCTGTCTCTAGTGAATCCTTTTATCCCCCACACCTCTGTCCTGTACCCCAGTTCTTGTATGCATAAATAAAAATAAATCTTTTTTTTTAAAGAAATACCTTCAGAGAGCATCTAGTCAAGTGGTTTCCAAAGTTTTTTTAGTATACAATGTCTTTTATCAAATGAAGTCTTAACCTAAATGCTGATTTGTTAGAGGACAGTCTAGAAGTGGCTCTGTCTTGGCTGGGACAGGGGAGGTGGAATTTACTCACTCAGTGCCCTCACTTCCTGCCAGGAAACATACATAAGCTTTAGTGGAATGTATTTTGAAAATAACTTATCTCCTCTATCATTCTACAGGCAAGAGTGTTAATGCCCTCTACTGGGATGACTTGGGTGTAGGAGAAACTGGGTTGGTAAATAAAATAGAAAAATGAAGTGTGTACCTGAAAAATAAGTTGCAGCCACAAAGTAAATCATAGGAAGATTTGGGGTAGACAAATTCAGAACAAATTCTGAAATGGGGGTAGACAAATTCAGAACAACAGTTCTCAAACTTCTCTTGTCACATCAACTGATTCAAAGTTATTAGGGATTCTAAAAACCTTCAGTTCCTTTAATTTTTATCACTTCATGCTACTTTAATAAGAAATAAAAATGATAAACTTTAAAATATTCATTCATTCACTTAAAATCAGCCCATTACATATTAACAAATGTAATCTATTTTAAAGAAAAGTAACTATATTTTCAAACATTTGCAAATGTCCGCCTCTATCAAATATAGATGGATTATGAAATCTCTTTTGCATTCAGCTTTTGTATTCAGCTGCTTTGTTGTCATACTTTTTACAGCCTTGGTAAAGCCACAGTAGGTGTGTGAGTGTATGAGAATACAAAAGGCAAGTGAAATCCTCTTATTGTTACGGAAACTGTTTTGGCCTCATGGACCCCCTTAAAGGGTCTCCAGAACCTAGAAAGAGCCCCAGACCATACTTTGAGAACTGGTGACTTAGAGAGCTTTTGAAAATACTGTTTCCCTGTCATTCTTTTCAGTAGAGGCAGTGCTTCTTGAAAACTGCTCAGAAGGATACATCAAAGTACAGTAACAAAGACCAAAACAATATTTGAAATTCAGTATGGCCCTTTGATTTGTGTTAAGAAAAGGAGACATATGTTTGTCCATTTACTTTCTGACTGTGTAGAGAGAATGAAGAGTAGGTATAGGAGATAAATGTCATTTCAATCAACAAACACAAAGTAGGAAAAAAGAAATATTATCACCACTGTACCTGAAAAATATAAGATAAGGTTGTTATCACCTGGAAGAAGTACAAGTAATACACCTACTGAGAGATTTCATATTCCTTGAGGTTCTTGGTTCCCTAGAAGAGAATTTCTCTGATTGCAAGATGGGATTGCTGTGAGCAACTACAACATTGTAAGAAATCTGTTTTACTTAGAAACTAGACTTTTTAAGGCTTTTTGTAATTGGTTACAATGTGTGATTATTTTTAGGTGCTCCATGCCAGGCATTTAGAATTCAATAATCATCTTTGGAATGACTTAGCAGTCTGTCCACAAGAACTCTGTAGACTCTGAATGTTAAACTTACTATTCTCCTTCCTTTCAAAAATGGATTGCATGTTGAGCTGAAACACTTGTCCTCATTTCTCTTAATGTATCTTTTGTGTACCCCCAACATCCAAACTCTCAAGTCTGTGCCCACATAATAACCTAGGGAGGTCTCTTCAGGGGTGCAGGCTCTGATCAAGGCAGCCCAGGAGTGGTGGACCCATCTCTACACACCACACACACACATATGCATGCACACACACACACAGGGAATGAAAGACACTTTAGGCTCAGGAAATTTCTATCTTTGTGAAAACAACACTTAACAAAGTTCCACTTGGTTCAGGAGAACAACCATAATGCATTTTAAAATCTGGAACGCAGCTATATACTTTTTTCCTGAGCTGATGGCCAAGAGAATGAGAAATATAAGGAACAACACTGTATTAGAAATTCAACTCATGCAACCTTAGGTAAGAAAAAAATCAATCTTATGAAATCACACATATTTTTCAACATTTCCTTTCCTACATACTGTAAATAATACATTTCATTATATTATGAATAATAGCTTGTTAGAAATGAAAAGAAGGAAGCAATAAAAGTAGGAGTGGGGTAAACAGCATAGATAAAAATCTTCAAGTGTAATCTTTCCTTGTGCTTCTACCCTTTCTTTTTGTAAAACCCACTTCAGTCAATAAAAATGTGAATGCATGTGAAATTGAAAAGTTCTAAGAGAAGTACATTTATGACTACTTTGGAAGCTTCAAGCCTCCAATATTTATTTTTATGATTTGAATGTTACCGTGACAGATACAACATTAACATTTGTAGGATCTAATAGGGACACCAACAGTGGAGCTGCATGTGCATGCAAATAGCATGTCCCACAAGAGGAACGTGTCAAGTGAACAGTGACATACACCAGAAAACTGCTGGCATTTAGGGATTAGTGTAATATGGAAAAGTAATGAGGCAAGCAGAAAAAAATAGGTTAGGTAACTGTGTCTTAGAAACTTACTAGTCTGGAAAATTTACATTACTGTTTTCATTTTTCTAAACTGAAAATACATAGTATAGTCTTACTGGAAAAGTTTGTGTCTATATATTTAATAGGAGGCACTGACTTGCCATGTAAATGACCCATCAGGGAACAGAGAAGAAAGGACCAGCTATGGGGTTGAAATGACCTCAGTGGAAGCTGACATAATGCAGAGGTGAGAATTTGCTGTGTTCTGTCACTGTTGCCCACTGATCGCTACCAGAGGACCGGCGGCTCCCGGCTTCAGCCTGCAGCAAGGGCACCTGAGTGGTCTTTCTGGGGGGTAGGGAAGTAATTAAGAAAAAGTGAATATAAATCTATGAAACCTAATGGGGTGGCAAGAAGTCGTTGTAGCTGCGTGGCCACAAGCAAGTCCGAGTCCCCTCGTCTGATCTGTGACCTGTGATGTGACAACATACCCAGCAGCACAGAGAGAAGGCATGGGACGTGAAGCTTTTCTTCCTGAAATGCCAATCTTTTGACTTCCCTTCTTTTCTAAGGCTCTCCTGGTATTCTCTGGAAGTCAACTCAGTGACATGATAGCTGGTACACCAATACTCACAAAATTTTATAAGAACTTGATTAGAATTTTTAATGAAGACATAACAAATAGAGATTTGTTTTGATAAGCGAAAAAGAAATATATAATCCTTATCTTTAAGATTCTTTCCAGAACATACATATAAAGGCCTTTCAAGAATACATTGTTTAGTTTGTGTTTCAGAGAGAACTGATCAATGTTCTCTATGCAGAGACATGGGGGAGGGGAGGGGAGGGGAGGGGAGGGGAGGCACTATTGGGACCTACTATGGACCTCATTTCTCTTTACTTCCCATTTAGTTTTATACATTGTTAGACCCTCTTCTGGTTCCAGAGGACTTTTCTCTTCTCTTTGCCAAATGGTTGTAACAGCAGCCACCATGAGTGTGGGGGTAGAGATCAGAGAGTCATCCCCTCTAAGCTCGTCTCTTTTCCATTCCTTGCTTATGAAATTCCTATTTTTCTGTCTTCCCACTATGTACGTTTCTGTGGCCAGCCTGAAAATAACTCTTGGACCTTGTTAACCATCTCTGTGAAGCATGAGGCTCACTTTCCCTGGAATCACACACCTGGCCTTAGACATGCCTCACGTCTGCCCCAAAACGTGCCTCTGGAGAATAGAATGCTTCTGGGATTTTCTTCCCAAGTAATTCTTGGTATGGCTGAAGGCTCTGGTTGGCCTTAAACAAATTCTGTCACCTGCTTTTCCTGGCAAAGATCCTCTGTGGAAAGCAAATCCCAAGGAAACCACATTGCTCTGCTGGAACTTTCTGGTTTCCTTGGTTTAAACAACCCCTCATAGCTCACAGAGCAGCAAAAAAGGGGAAGTGGCAAAGTCTCTTTTTATCTTGTACTCTCTTCTCTCTGGGCAAGGCTTATAAAATATTGCTGAAATTTATAAAGTGCTATAACATTTGAGTTATTTTTAATCCACCTTTGGGTTCTATAGCAATAAAAATACAGGCAGTGATGAAGCAATGGTCAATAAAACAATCTTTTATTGCTGTAGAATCAACCTATGTGAGCCCGAATCTAAAGCACCATGTATCTTAGGTAACTAACAATGAAGTGCACCAAGGCAGCTCCCTCTATTAGATAATTTCTTGTCCTTAATTAATAAAACTGTAAAAATGAAATTTTTGGACATATACAAATGTGCAACATTACCTAAAGTTTTGAAACAAAGAAAAGCCACCCAAAAGTTGCTACTATCATCATTTGTGTTTATTTCCTAATTTGTGGAGCATACTATTTCTCATCTTACTTTTTTATACACTTAGTGTGCCCCAGAAATATCTTTTTCTATGAAGTTTTTATAATTGTTATGTTTGATAGCATCGCACATTATTTTCTCCTTTAAGCAATCTGATTTCCTTCTGTGACTCCATTTTTCAGTTATCCTAGTTAATATGGAATCATAAGCTCTCTTCTTAACCTGATATATTCAGCAGAGAAGAATTATTGTTCCATCCAGTCTATGGTTTTCATGAAGCCTTAGAAGCACAGGTCCAAAAAAGCAATGCTTAAGAGCACTAACACATTTTTTTTTTTTTTTTAGGGTTGTGCCTGCTGCTACAGAATCCCCTCCCTGGGGTCTCAAATGGCAGCATGGCCCTGGTCCACATGCACTGTGAGAGGTGACACAGACTTCCCTGACCTCTAAAATAATATAAGAAATGACCATGGGTCAGCCCTAGAGCTCCTACCAAAGATTAATATGTGCCAGGGAAATTGAAGGAGACACAGCGCCTATTTGCATGCCTTTCAAAACACAAGTTCAACCAATATCCTCTGACAGTCCAATCAAGGCATCCCTTATCCACCTTTTCAGACTTCTCAATATTGCCATTTTTCTGGAGGCGACAGCTCAGATAAGTTTCCTTCCCCATTATCCTCAACATGAACTGAGGTGAATATAGACACTCTGTTTGGAAAGATGGGTCCTACTACTCCACGTAGCAAATAAAAGATACCTTCTGCAGTTATTATAGCAAGATGTTATATTGGAATTGAGGACACTCAGGAATATTTTCAAATTTCCAACACAATCAACAATTCTTTCCCTGAAAACATAGTTCAAGGAACTTCTCTGACTACAGAACAGTATTCATTTTAGGTGGATAAAAGAGTAAAAAAGAAAAGAAAATGATAAAGTTGTTTGAAAAATCTAAAAGAAAATATGTATAAATGTTTATCTGTATTTGCATGGAGAAAGACAAACTTTATGAAAGGGAAAGTTCATATGAAAAACTATCAATGGATTTGATTACATAAATATTAAAATTTTTGTATTTTGACATCATAAACAAAATTGACAGTCCATCAAAAAGCTGGCAGAATACTTACAAGTGATATGACACGGTTAATAGTTTAAACTATAAATAGATAATAAAAATAGCAACAGCAATTTAATAGTTGAATGAGTAATGATCAGAAAAATCATGAAAAAATAAAAACAAAAATGGGAGACAAATGAACTTCTGATTCCCAGAGATGAAACAGACAGACATACTTACCCTGTCCCTCCACAAAGAACACCCAAAAGTCCCCAGACACTATGTAAAATAAACAAAAGGAGCCTGTGAAATATGGACAGAAGATAATCCAGTGGTTTTATCAGATTCTCAAGGGACCCAGGCTCCAAAGAACTTTAACCATAGTGATACAGGGCAGCAAGGGGCACCAAAACTGGCCTAGGACAGTGCCCAAATAGTTTACCAGTCACTGTCTGAGTTCTTCACCCGCCGCACTATTTCAGGACACCTCAGGCTCGGGGAACAACAACAATGATACATATTTAACAAACCAGGGGAAAAACAAAGACTTACTGAGGCCAAAAATGGCTTTTACCTCACCTGAAGCACTGCCAGTGTTTTCCAGTCCTAAACAGAAGCGCTAAAATATGTCTTCCCGACATGGGGATGCAGAGCTCCTCTACAGAATAGGCCTTGCATCCAAGGTGGCGTCTTCCTGCCTCTGCCAACCTGAAGCACGTGGCAGGCAGACGTTAGGCCAGGTTCTGCTGCCTCTAGGCCAGCTTCTGACTCCCAAAGACAACAGAAAACACAACAGGAGATGCTCTCGGAGCTACCGGGATGCACCAGCGCAGCACCAGACAAGCGACTTAAGACAGCAGCTGCAGTGTCAAAACGGACAAATGGCCACACTCACGCAGCTCAGCGAGGAGCCCGGCTCCAGTTCCCGCTCTTGGCCTTCTCTGCCAGGCTGTAACTGCAGCAAAACCGGCAACAGTTTCAGTTTCTCAGCTAATTGTAAAGTCTCCGAACTTTTCCTCTCTGAGATGGGCTGCTGGAGGCCTCCACCTTCAGGGCCCTGCAACAGCCTTCTGGAAGATCAGGGCGGTGGGGACCGGAATCCACCGACCCCAAAAGCTGAAGATCCAAAAACCGTGTATCTTGAAGACTGAATGAATATTGGCCCCTTCTGCAGTCCTTCACATCACTTATCAGTGGCCCCACCCCAAAATGCGATACTTTTTGGAATTTTTCCTCAGGCTATCTATTCTCCCCAGCAACCCCCTCCAGGGGGCACCACCTCTAACAAGTCTGTGGCTTCAGGCGCCCGTTACACTAGCAATAGCCTCCAGGATAAGATCCTCCTACTCATTCTTTATGTTTTACTTCTTCAGCAAGTTTCCTCCTCCTTGGGGTTAAAATAAGACTTGGTGGTTAAGGGGGAAATAAGTAATCATTTAAGATAATAGAAATTTTAGCATTTAAATTTCTTGTTAATCATCCTGGTGAGAAAATTAAAATAGAGTGACATAGGGATTGATGAAGAACCAATGAGGAAACACCAGTGACTGAGCAGCTGAAAGGCCTGAAGAGCTTGTTAATGCTGACATAGAAATCACTTGTGTTTTGCACTCCAGTATCTGCCCAATGCACGGGTGCAAAATGAAGTGGCTGAGTTCCATGTGTACGTGTGTATGACACAGAACATGATATGTCTGCAAACACAGATGACACAGACACAGCACATAGCAATACTAGGAGGTGAAGGTGATGTGTTCTGCAGAAATCCTGCATCAGGCTTTGGATGTTTCTAAGGGAGTGACCTACAAATTCAAACCAATCATATCTACTGTTCAAGGGGATAAAGAGGCAATAAAATATCTGTCAAAATCCTTTCAAAGCAGGTGTTGTCACAGAAACTGGGTGCCACACAGATTCGAGTCATTAATATTTGCTTTTATGATTCTATACACATAGAATGAGTCAGGTGTTGCTTCCAGCAGTTGGAGATATAAATTCACATTAGAATATGTAGCAAAGAAGTCAGATTAACAAAGTTGTAAAAGCACAATTTTCTGATGTCTTGCAGTCTTCTTTTCCAATTTCTACATAACTGTGGTCTGTACATGTCATTTTTGTGAGTTTCAGGCAACTGGGACATTGCAGCTATCTGGTAGCAGGTAAGGTGCACACCTCTGACATTATCTGATGCCTCTGTGATTACAAACAAAACAAAAGGTGGCTGATGTTTACTGTAATGGAGCAGCATAGCTGAAGTTCTTACCTAGTTAGTATTCACAAAAACATCTTCAAATTGGAGTTTCCACTGCCATTGAAAATCATTTTTAACTACATGAAATATTTTAGTAGCTGCTGCTTTTTAAAGACCTTCCAAGGAAGTTTTTTTTTAAAAAGATTTATTTTATTTTATTTATTTATTTATTTATACAAGCACTGGGTACAGTCAGAAGCATGGGAGGGTGAGAAAATTCACCAGAGTCAGAGCGGGGAGCAAAGCAGGCAGAAGGACCGAAGTACACTGCTGAGGGGAGCAGTGGGCGGCAGGTAAGGTCTGCGCGCCATGCAGGACCCTCCTCCGGTGGCCGGGGAGCAGCCGGGGATCGAACTGGCGCTGCAGAGGCTGCGGGCAGCTTCGCAACCCAGTGCTCAACCGCTGTGCCACCGGGGAGGCCCAGCTGCTGCTTTTTACATGACAATAATAAACAATAAACAAATATAAAAGTTAGAAATTAAGTAATCATAAAATGCACTGTTTTGGAATGGCTATATCATAAATGCCTATTGTTTGTGTTCTTTTGTTAATCCTTACTTGCAATTTTTTAATGTTTCTGCAGGATAAATCAAAACTCTTTAGTTTTAGTGTGAGACTTTTTGTTTAGATCTGATTATCTTTTCATTTAATTTCTATAATTCTCAGAAAGGAATCTGATATCCTACATATAAAGTAGGTCCCTGAGCACTCATATCTTTCTCCTTCTGAATCCCCTTTTCTCTATTCATGGAGTGTCTGATTCTTGAAAAATCTTGTTCACTGGGAAATTTTTCTTTCAAAGTTCTCAAAACACACCAAGAACTTTTGCATTTTTGTAGTGTATACCCATTTTATCATACCTACAGTTTGTGTTATATTCAGTTGTAACTTTTCTCTCTTCCTCCAATAATTCGTCTGTTCATTTAAAAAATATCGAGCAATAGATATGTTTGTTCTAGGCTCTGTTCTGGGCACAGGGGAAATGACTCTGGCATTAATCAAGGCTTAAAATGGAAAGCACCTTGAGTATTTCTGACAGAAAGGATTTCATTCAAGGCATAGGTGAAGGAGGAAACTAGAAATTAAACAGTGCATGGGGAAGTGTTCCAGGAGTGAACAATATCAAGAAGGCACTAGTATCCTGGATTGGAGAGAAGAGGGGAGAAGTTTTAAGAGCCCCAGTGGGGTTTGATCTTTCAAAAACTGGAAGAACTGCCTTGCAGATGCCAGTTGGATTGGAAAAGAAAAGGTTTCTGCTGGAGAGGCCAGCAGTGGAACGACAGAGAGAAATACCACATATTCTCCCTTGTCCTGTTCTCCCAGTCTCCTGTTAGTGCTTTCCATTGTCCAGATCTATCTGGAAGTCAGTTAATGCAGGAACATGAGAAATTCAATAGGTACAGTTCTCTGTGTGTAGGAGCAGAGCAGTGGAAAGGTGCAGAATGGAACTGAAAGCAAAAATGCCCAGGACTGGCACAGAGGGGAACAAATATATGAGGATTTCAATCTATTTCATCTTGGGATGCCTAACTCCTTGCATGGTGATTGCATATGATAGGTGGCCAATAGGCATCTCAAACGCTTAATGGATGAATGAAAAAAAAGACATGCAATAAATAATCTGATTCCCTCCATGACTCTGACAAACCTCTTCATGAGAAAATACTTAGGGCAGCAGTTTTATCTTTTGATACCAAATAAACAGCAGAGCTTCCATTTTACTCATGGGTATCATGAACCTTATATACATACTGCATTTTCTGTGGCATTTTGCTCTGGGCCTCATAAATCTGATATCATTCCAAGGCTTCAGATTCCTAAGGTGTAGTAAGGTAAGGTCACTGTGGTAATGAATGGTTGTGACAATTTCTGGGCTTGGTTTTCCCATATTTTGTAGAACAAAGCATGGCCCTACAGCCCTTCCTGCAGACACTGCACTCAGCATTCACCTGCACTGGGCAGGAGCAAGGGCATTGCAAGTGATCTGAAGCTCCCGATTCCAGAATTCTGCTGAACTTAATGGCAACACTCTCCAGTGTTGTGAGTAGCATTTATA